CTTTCGATGGGCAGATAGAAGCGGCCTCGTGGCGAGGGGAGTGTGTGTGCGCGCTCGCCCCAAGCCGCTTCTACTGGCCGATCGAAGTGGCTGGTGATTCTGCCTTCAAGGGAGCTTCTATCAGCTATCAGGGTATTCTAGCCTAGGCTACCTGCAGGGCACTCCTAAAGGCAAGTTTTCTGCCCCCCCACCCCTGCCCTTCCCCCCCCCAACCCCTTTCCCCCCATTTCTCTTCACCTCGTGTAGTTCTAACGAACGATGTGAGAAATGGCGGGGAAACGCATGCTTTTAATAGGCCTTAATTTAGGGGGCGGGGCTTAATTTCACCTCCTGCCAATAAAACATGGTGGGGCTTCCTATTGGTGGAGGCTGTATTGTTGGAGAAACATGGTAATAGTCATAGGGTACAATAAGCAATCAAATCATACTAGGAAACAGTCAATATAAACCGTAAGGATACAAGCAACAAAGTTACAGTCATACAGTCACAAGTGGGGGGGGATGGACGATAAGGAGTGATGAGAAGATTAGTAGTAATAGTAGTGCAGACTTTGTAAATAGTTGGACAGTATTGAGGGAATTATTTGTTTAGCAGAGTGATGGCATTCAGGTAAATACTGTCCTTGTGTGTAGTTGTTCTGGTGTGCAGTGTTCTATAGTGTCGTTTTGAGGGAAGGAGTTGAAACAGTTTATGTCTGGGATATGAGGGTTTTGAAAATATTTTCACAGCCCTCTTTTTGACTCATGCAGTATACAGGTCCTTGATTGAAGGCAGGTTGGAGTAATTGTATTTTCTGCAGTTCTAATTACTCTCTGAAGTCTGTGTCTGTCTTGTTGGGTTGCAGAACCAAACCAGACAGTTATAGAGGTGCAGATGACAGACTCAATAATTCCTCTGTAGAACTGTATCAGCAGCTCCTTGGGCAGTTTGAGCTTTCTGAGTTGGTGCAGAAAGAACATTCTTTGTTGTGCTTTTTTGATGACGTTTTTGATGTTAGGTGTCCATTTTAGTTCTTGTGATATGATAGAACCTAAAAATTTGAAGGTCTCTACTGTTGATACTGTGTTGTCTGGTATTGTAAGAGGTGGTAGATTCCTTTTTCCCAGCTGGGAGAAATGCAAAATGATTTGGTCAGCTGCGTTGAAAGTCAGAATCAGTTTATTAATAGGAAGGCAGGTGAAAAGAAATCTCACAGCGTTCCTAGGATTAATCTAATCTTGTGAGTAGAGATACTCCTTTTTTATACCCTTCAGATCCTTTGATTTTGTAAGTGTGAACCTTTAAAGTCTTTGATTTGTGTGTATGTGATGAGTTCCTGTCTTTTGATATTGGCATCTCTTCCTGGGATCTTGGTAATTGTTTTATAGTAGCTCTTTGTTGCATTAGGTTGCAATATCCTGAGTTTCCTCTTATGCCTTTTGATTTGCTTTTCACAAGTTTTTTATAGCTTGCCATCTATTTGATTTCTATGGGAAAGGATCTTAGCCAGTTTGTACGGTTTTTTTATCTGTATCTCATGCCTGTAATTTTCTCCTTCCTTTGTTGTGAAAAGTAAGCTGGCTCCATCTATTTTAATAGCCCTACTTGACAAAGGGTGGGGGCTGTTTTCCTAGAAGAGAGGAGAATCTAACTTCCAACGATCCCTCATTATTATTATTTTTTCAAAAGTGTTTTGACAAAAATTTAAAAGGTGATCAGATCAGGGAAACTTGATGGAGGCAAGTTGTACAGCCTCCCATCTGTATGTGGATTCGTAGTTGTCTCGAATGAGACCAATCACTGTTGAGTCATCTGCAAACTTCAGTATTTTAACAGATGGTTCGTTTGAGATGCAGTCACTGGTATATAGGGAGAAGAGAAGTAGAGATAGCACACAGTCTGTGGGGGCGGGGGACTGAGCAGGTATCAGATGTGATTCTGCCTAGCTTCACCTGTTGCTTCATGTATCCTGATTGGTTGTCAGACTCCCATGGGGCCATGCAGGGGTAACTTCGTGGGTTGTCTTGAGTCCCAGGCTTGGTTGAATCTTGCTGGGTGATGCAATGAAGAGGCTTTGCGCAATTCCTATTAATGGAAAATGCACTCTTTCTCCCCTGTTTGCAACTGTCTTGCACACAGAATCCACCAGAGGTCTCTCTCTGCAAAGAGAAAGACAATCCTATGCGCTTCAGCATTGGGCCACTGGAGGTATTAACCGGTGGGTTACCATAGGAGAGTGGGAAGGAAGTGACATCAATGAGTCGTGCCCCTCTAGGATGCTGCATGCTCTTTCTTTTTAACCCCTTGAGCTTCTCAGGGGCTTTAAAAGGCTGCAGAAACGTCTTAAAAGGAAGAGATCCAGAGGTGGGCGGGGACAGAGAGTTCTCGTGCTAACGAAGGGAGGAACAGATGCCAAGTCCTCGTGCAGGTTCAATCCTCTAAATCCCGGAAGAGGGAGTGCCCGGATCCTGTGTTACCTTGCGGCTCGTTTCCAGGCATGTAGCTGGTAGAGGGAAAGCCCTGCTCCAGACCAGCCAGACGTTGCCCCAGGATTCAATCCAGATCCTCGGAGAGGAGGAGATGCCCTGGGGGAATCCTTCACACTTCATATCTTCGTGGGGAGATTGCTTCCATGGCAAATCTCGAGCAGGAAATAAGAAAAAAATTGCAAGGGAGGAGCTGCAGGAGATTGCAGCTGCCTTCTCCTTATGTGGTGGAGGACGCTAAAATAGGGTTGGTATTTCAGCAGTTCCATTTGTCTTAGTGAAGGACATCATCAACCCCTGTGTTTCGTGTAAACTCAGCCCCTGCAGTTTGTTACTCTGTTTTATTTGTTCAATTTCCCTGGCCACCCATAGAAATGTGTTTGTGACTTTAGAGTATGCTGTGTGAAGTGTATGTAATTGTGCGATTTGGCTCTTAAAAAGCAAACCCTGAAGAAAGGGAAATGGAACACCCTAAACCAGATCATTTCATTTTATATGAACTGAACTTTGTTGACCTGTTAAGCATTTGGCATGTTGCGTGAACCCTGCTTGTAGGTAAATGCAGATACGGGTTTTTTAATAAAGCAAGACCTATCTTGATCACATGGGCCCTGAAGTCCTCATACATACATGCCAGTTGCCAAGTGTTCAAATGTACCAGGGTCATAAATTTGAAAAACAGTCATAAGTCACTTTTTTTGGTGCCATTGTAACTTTGAACGGTCATTCTATAAATGGTTGTAATAAAAGTGGGATACAAATAAATATTAGATATTAATGCACAGGCACTAACTTCTCATTGACACTGTAATCCTAAAATAGCTTAGAAAAATGCTTTCTTTCATTGGGATAAGTGTTCTTCTGGGATTAAATCCACTACTTTCTAATTCATCTCAGATACTCAAATTGGATGCCATTTGTACATTCTCTTGTTGAGGCAAAAATGTCCCTTGGACAAAGACAACAGAATGACTTGTTCTAGTCATTACTGTGGCTAGAGGAATGGTCCTGTGAATGAAAAGGTGTTTGGAGATCTGTAAGATTCCCTTGGACCCATTTGGAGTTGCATTACAGGACAGAAAAAAAATGGAAAGTGAACCCTTAGGAAGTGAGGGAACTGGAAAAGGCCCTTCTGGGATTCAGCCTGGGAGCCAAGGGAAGATCTGGGCAAGAACTGGGCAGAAGGTCCAGGAGGAAAAAACCACCCTCTCAGATGTTCAGCCCTGGAAATTCAGGAGCATCCAATATCAGGAGGATGAAGATCCCCGAGGACTTTGCAGCCGACTCCATTTCTTTTGTAGTCAATGGTTGAGACCAGAAAAGCACACAAAAGTGCAGATACTGGACCTGGTTGTTTTGGAGCAGTTCCTGGCACTTCTGCCCCTGCAGATGCAGAGCTGGGTGCAGGAGTGTGGAGCAGAGACCAGCTCCCAGGCGGTGGCCCTGGTGGAAGGCTTCCTCCTGACCCAGGCGGAGGAGAAGAAGGAGCAGGTTGAGTTGCAGGTGAGAGACCTTCATGTGGGAGCTCAGGACTGGTTAAATATAACAAACAGTATTTTTGAACTCTTAAACTTTGCCTACCAGAGTTCTTTGATATTCATTACATGTGGAAATAATTCTTGTAGGACATTTTTGTTTTATTTGTGATAGTCATTCCTTTCCTTCTTTGCAACCTCACTGATGGATTTCTGGGTCTTCCGAATGGTGTTCACAAAAGAAGAATCCACTTCTTGATATGTATTGTCCATCTATTTTTCTTCTTTTTTCCCTGCCTACTTTTTCCAGTCCTTCATGGTGGAGATCAGAGATCCTGAGGGAAGGAGGCATCCATCATCTCAGGAAATGTTTTTCAGGAGGATCTCTCAGGATGATCCAAATCAAGACACAACCAGAGGTAATACAAGGCTCTCCTATTCTGCAGAGATGTCTCAGCTGTCTCATCTTCTATATGACTTCTCTTCTATAGAACATCACCTCCGACATTATGAATTATGCAGTGTAAATTCTGTCTCCCTCACAGGGGAGAATAGTAGGAAGTTGGCCCTTCCTGAATGCGGAGCTGAAACAGTGGTTGAAACTCCAATTCAGGTGAGAAGAGGAAATTTGTTTATTAGTATTGTATTCTCCTTTTCCTTCAGAAGGTCAAGGTGGTGTACATAATACTGTCTCCTTCCATTAATCTTTTTTAAGACTGGTACTTTAAAAAATTGCTACTTGTTGCCAATTATTATTACAATAATTGTAATTTG